AAAAGAACTTGTTTCCATAAGTAGTGGAACGGAATTAGGAAACCAGAAAATCGCGTCAACAGTTACTACCATGCGATCGCAAGGTTATAAACCATGCAATCGCATGGTTATACAGTTTCTAGTCTCCCAATTTTCGGTAAAAGAGTGGGCGACCGCATGGTATTTGTGTCATCCGATCGCATGACTTTGTCATTTTTTTCCGTCAAACAGCTTTCAATATTTCGGCCATAACTTTCTCTATCGATGTCCAATTGTGGTGATTCAAGATGAGTTGAAAAGCTAACTGAAAGGGCTACAACTTTTCTTCAGAAACTATCTTCAAATTAGATCGTTTTCCATATCCAAAATTGGTCTCAATATGATGCTGAAAACCGATGCAAAACTTTTCTGCTTGAAAGTTGATATATGATAATGTCTTAGCTATATTTCATCCCTTTGACTTCTTTCTTCATCCAATTGGGCTCTAACACCCTCAAATCTTCATCATGAGGTTCGATACAACTTTTAAATATTCGCACTTTGGTTCCCGAACTTTCGCTTTCTCTCATTTTGGTCATTTTCCCCTTATTTCTTCCAAATTACGCTATATCCATCGAATTGCCACCTAAACCAANTCGAATTGCCACTTAAACCAAAATATGAGAATATTAAGTACGTTTAAGCATAAAATAGTCATATGAGCGCATTAAATAAAGATGTAAAATGTGTATTTTACATTCCTATCAAATGTCTTTGTAATTTTACCTCGATTTATTGTAATGTAAATAACATTGTCGTCGTACGATATGGAGTGATCAATGATGCAGACGTTAAGATTAATTTTAATAATTTTCAACCAAGTTAATTCACTAAAGACATAAAGTAAAATCGCTGAAAATCATTGTCTTTATATCAACTTCAATTACGTTAGACACTAGCCAAGTCAAAATATATATGTTGGAGGTATATTTCTGTAGGCTAGTATTGAAAGTAATTTTCATTATTAATTAAAATTATCATAAATGGCAGCCGCTGATTATTTGATTGAACTGAAATTTGGAATAGGTACACTTGACGATATGAATCATTTGAAAAATAAATGTATTCGTTCTGTAGCGGATCTTTTACAAGATCAATTCGGATTG